GAAATTGTACAGGTCCCATGTGTGTTCAAATATTATAATTATCTGCAGGTTAGTGACTTGCTCAAGGCCATGCAGCAAAGCAGAGGATGAGCTGGGATCAGGAATGTCTTCCTTCTAGTCCCATGCTTAATCCACTACAATGTCTTGCTCCAGAGTGAAACTTGAGTCATTAATGGTTAGATATGTGAAATTCATTTTGATAGGGAGGCAGGCATTGTGTAATTGCTTGAAGAGCATGACACCGAAGAATGAATTATAAATAACATTATGCATTACTGCTACCCAGTTAGCAGTTTGTTCACCTATTTGGCAGCTGTTTCCCCAGTGATTCGTTATACAGCTTTTTCTGTTTTTTTTCTTTCTAAATCAGCACAGAAAGCAGAGGCAGAGCTGTGTGCATTAAGAAATTCAGAGCTGTAGCAAATACTCATCAGTGCGGATTAGATAGCAGAACACTGCCAGAAAAAGCCACAATGAGTTTACCTCAGTGAACTGCTACCTTGACTTGACTTACTGATAAGGAAAAGAAAGAGCATTGTCCTCTGGTGTCACTTGAGCCAAAATTACTTCTTTTTTCATTATCTAGATCAGATAAGTTTTTATCTTTCTTTTTCCATAAGGCAGTTCCTGTGATTTTGTGACAGACAAACAGGCAGCACAATTCAATCTTAATAACAGTGCTTATACTAATTTATGGAAAAATGTTTCCTGAGTGTTTAGATCAATGCATGCAAAACCACAAAAAAAGTTCTGTAGGTCACAGGTATGTAAACTGCATGCAATGGAGGGCACTATTAAGAGGAGAACACTGTTTAGCAAGGCATAATTGACTAAGCATGTGACTACAGGCATCTAAAAAACAAAAAACCCTCACATTTTTTCTGCCATTTTCCTTTTTTTTTGCACAATGGGAAAAGGTTGTGCTAGGTTTTCCCCTTCATTAGTTCAGTCCCCTTTCACTAGTAGTGACTGCACTGCAACCTCATTTCTCACTGCAAGTTCCTTTTAGGCTGGAGATAAAGAGGAGTGAAAGGAAACTCCTGAATGATGGATATGGAAGAGTTTTTTGTGCTGAGCCCGTATGCCAAGGAGGTGTCGTCCTCCATGTGTATGTGATTGGAGACATGAGTGGTTTTGGAGACATCAAAAAAAGGATAATTGGAACTTAAAGCCACCACCACACGTAAGAAGTTATTCTAGCCAAACTGTAAGGAACTGAAGGCTGAAACAAAGATTAAAGCAACGCAACGGCTAAGATAATAGCATCTAATCCTGAGGTGTGTCAGAAGTAACGGTAGTCACAAGTCTCAGAGTCAAGCCGAACACCTTCATCGTTATATCCGTGACAAACAAAAGATGTGTCAAGAATGAAGTTTTGGGTCACGTTTTTATTTATTTACCCTTCTGGGATATACTGAGTTGCCACAGGATACAGCGGTGCAAGGAAATAGGAAAACTGAGGCAGGCAGAAAATAAGGAAGAGACCAGGTGGATCAGAGGAGGCAGCAACAGCCAAATCACTCTTCCCTAGCATGTATTGCTAAGCTCAGGCAGTGTGGAGCAGGCTGGCAGGTACAGAGGTCAGAGGCTGCCCTAAAAAGTTCTCATCCTAAGGCCTGTCTACAGTATCTGCTGCTGGCAGAAATCTCCAGCGTTGTAAACAGAGCCTGAAAAATGAAATAACCTGGAAATGACCAGAAGCTGCTGGCAGGAACGAAAAAAACCACTTCCATTTATGTACTCATGAAAGTCAGCAGGAGTTTCAATCTTGTCAAAACATCTCCCTCAATTATTTGCATTAAAAATAGAGTATTTAGCATAGGGCTAGGATACTGTGTGGTAAATCAGGGACACACAATGCTGTCAGATAGACAGATAGCTTCACATAGAAGTCACTGTGGTCTTTCTCTTAAGAACAAATGGCCATTGCTATTTCTGTGATCACTTGCTTATCAGGGCCAAAGAGTCAAACCATTTATAAATAAGTTCACAGGAGGAAATGGAATAATGACCGAAATCTCAGTCATAAAATTTTCAAAAGCAGAGTAACAGGATAATGTTATATAATAAATTATTTGCTGAAAATTAATTACTCAGCTGAACAGGTTGATTCCCTTTGCACTCAATATTTCTACTTCCGAACTACTTGCCATATGTGTCACCACATCATTTCTGAGATTCTTAGCCACTACTAAGGCATAGTCAAAATAAAATGTGTTTTTCTGCTTGAGAGGAACTGCCAAGTACATGCAGTTCTGTAACAGGTACATCCTTGTCAATATACTGCATGGCATAGAGGTATCGCTATCCCCATATGCTCGCAATATGCGTGAAATACTGCAGGTACCCAGAACCAAGATGAACCACAACAGCACCGGGACTTCAGACAAGATGCAGGTTGCCTGCTTTGGGGGAGGTCTGGTGGAGGTGTTGTGAGGTTATAACATAGGTGACTGCCTCCAGCAGTGTTTCAGAGCACCTACACAAGGCGTCAACACTCCCACAGTATAGTCAACACAGAGTTAAATGCTCTGAAGTTCAACAGGCAGAGCAACAAACTTCCTAGAGCCAGCTCTGCTTACCTGCTAGGTACATGGCTATGAGTCATCTCTACTGTCTTTAGAGCTTGGGCTTCTGACCTGTAGATGTTCATTAAAATGAGTTTAAAAAAGAAAAAAAGAAAACAGATTACATTCCCAACTTATCATTGTGGAAAATAAGAGATCAAGTACTTGGTTCTGGGCTTACCTGTTTCTACCTGTTTTAAAACCCAGAGCATGCTGTCCTCTTCCTACCAGCCTTTGCTCTGTTTGAAAATGTGGCCAGTGGCAGCAGTGGTGCAGCCACCCGCATCTGGCATAACAACCCAGTCGTTAGAGCACTGACTCAGGAAACCAGATACCTATGTTTTCCAATTCTGCAACGCAAGGCTAGGATGCAACAGATATCCAGGAGTGGTCCCACAACATCCTTTTCTTCTTTTTCCTCCTATGGTTGTATTTTGCATTAGGAAGTGACTATTACAGATTCCTTTTATGCTGAATCTGTATGACAGGTGTATTTTAGCCATTTTCAGAGCACGGAAAAGGTTTAAGCCCCAGAGGCAAGGTTTGGGCATTTCTTCCCATGGTTTCTGGATCAGAGCAGAGGCTGGGTGGGAGGCCACAGCCATTTGGCTTTCAGGAACAGAGGAAAGTTTTAGGTAGGTGTCTATGAGGTTGGTTGGAGGATATCTGGGTGTCTTTCACTTCAATACTTGGATACTGTAGGCTCTAACCAGAGTTTTAGTTGTCTGCTACATTTCCCACTGACAAAAATTCGGCATGCAAATACTTATCATCCTCACCAAGTGTATTTTTGCCTGCCCTATTGCTTAGTTATTAAAAAGAGACTTTTATGAAAAGAAGTGTGCAGAATTTAGAGTCATGACTTCTGGGTAATGTATTGCTGTTTGTATCAGCTTTAGGAATAAGTATTTTTCCAATAAGACACAGAGATTATTATAAATTAATTGACATGGGAAAGAACAGTCAATGTTAGGGTTTCCAGTTGCCATTTTTCCAGTGCATGTTGATTTCAGTTGAGGGCTAATGGGGTAGGGTAGATTTTGTCCCAGTGCCCTTTGATTAGGTACTGGTGCAACTGTGAAATAAAATCTGTACCTAGTGATACCGTGGGACAGGCACCTGAGATACATTTCTGAAGAAGGAAGAAACTACATCAAGAGTGGAAAAAGAGCATGGAAAAAACAGTGTCAGGCTGTGATAGAGCTGGTAACTCAAGACTTTGCTATGGAAATTCTTTACATCATTTTGTCATCTTGATAGCAGATTTCTGTCATCAGAAATCTAACATTTAAGAAATGGCAAAATCAAGCAAACAGTAAAGACGACCAGTATTTACTGTATACTTGAAGCAAGGAAATATGAGAGGCTCAAAAGATGCAGTGCAAAATCTGAGAGAAAATAGATTATTTGTAGGTTTCCAAGGGCCAATGGAAAGTGCAATTGTATAAATCACAAGAAACTGCTTTGAAAATTTCCTTTTCACTTTCAACAATTACTATGCCAATGTGGCCATTTTAATTGAGCATTGTAAAGGATCCAAAATGTCTCCAGTGCAAATACATTCAACTGCTAGTGTGCCTAGAACATTTTTATGATTCACGGTATTATTCTAATATTTTTGCTAGGTTCTTGGGCGTTGGCCTCAGACTAATTTCATGGTACATTTGAGGTCTAAACCACAGAGAGAAGGACTGAAGGGGGTTATTCACGGACTTGGCTTTCTACAGGTTTTTTTTTTTTTTTCCTAACGTGGTGGAACTGTTTCCAAAAGCCAGTTGTATGATGCTTCTTGTTTGAGCACATGCAGTAGATGAAAATTCGTGAGTGAAAAAGAGCATTCCACGTAGTCCAAATCCCAACACAGGAGCTTATACAGCTATGTTGTATATTTGTGTTGTTCAATATTCCAAATAATATTCTGGAAGATTATCTATTTTCCCTGGAGTCTCAGTTTTAAGTAAAAAGTATTAAATGCCAGGTTTTTCAGTGATGTGCTGGGAATAATATTACTTAAGCAGCAGAATACTTGGAGCGGATGTTCGCTCTAGCCTCTATCTCCTCTTCACACAATGTCTGCCTGCTCTAGATTCTTGTTAATGTTTTCCTCTTGGTCACTGATTATTTTTTAATAAAAAAATATGATCCACCATGATCCAAAATTGCCACTAAGTGACACCTGGGCCCTTAAGCTTTGACTCTGCTCCCATGCAAATCAATGGAAGAGCGCCTAATGACTTGCTTAGCATTAGTTGGGACCTCTACAGAACAATTTCAGTTTAGGAAGGAGTTTTAAGTGAATGGGAAAATCCTAAAGTCCCTTCCACACTCAGGCTATGTGCTTACTTTGCAGTAAGTGTTCCCCAAGCTTGTCTTAGTCCCCTGCAATTGTTTGGGGTAACTTAAATTTCCTAATTGTCTGTGTTCAATTTCCAGAGAGAGCATGTGGGGCTGTGCCAGGTCAGCCGTTAACCCTTTTCGTTTTTTCAACTCCAGGTATGAAGCATTTTATTGTGTATTATATAATGTTCTGTTTTATTGACAAAGTCTAGTAGCAGTGCTTTTCAGCTTTCTTTCCCTCTTTATGTCATGGCTGGGGGGTATGGGGGGCTGGGCAAGGTCCAGAGTTGATTTTTGGTATTGCTTTTTGTATTTGGAAGCTGGGAGGGTGGTGGTGCACATCATGGGAAAGCTGCAAATTTTTTTCCAAATCCCAATGACTAATACACGAGAATAGGAAAAACCTATCCTCTCTGACATTTGATAAAGCAGTTAAAAATGTCCAAAATAGTCTACTGACATTGAGTAAGATCTCTTTTTACACAAAGTTAATGTGAATCCACATAGCTTATGGTGGGTCATTGCCAGTTACCATGAAATAATTGACAAGCAAAGCTGTAAAATGTAGGAAGAGGTATTTGCAAACATCTTGCTTTTTTCTCAGGGAGGTCAAAATTTTAAAACCTTACTGTATAATGTGCTTAGGAGATGCCCTGTTTTAGAGAGCAGAGTTTACATACAAGTCCAGTGGGAGGGGGACTGGGAGGTTCCAGCGAGTGTTGTGATGCTGTAAGGTGCCTCGGGTTTACTACACTTGCCCAGGTAGAAATGATGTCATATGACAGAAGGGATGTACCAACGCTAACAGGGTTCCTGGTTTTGTTGGGTTTGTTGCTGTTGTTTTATTGGGTTTTAAATACCGTGCAATGAAGTGTCCACTCTCAGTGTGCTTGCTTGTTTGTTTGTCCTCCTTCTTCTTTTGTTTGTTTTGTGGGACCCTGAAAAGATTCCTTGGAGTCGTGTTCATCATGTGACAAGTGTCAACCCATCAACTCACTTCTTTATCTGCTCTTAATCTGTGGGTCCTCTATCTGTGGAGTACAGAAGGAAAAACAATGTCATACATTCAGTACAAGCAAATAAATTGCAGAATAAATCCAATTCTTCACATTTATAAGTAGATCTAAGCTTCATAATAAAATTAAGAAGATGGCTTTTTTAGAGCAATTACACTTTCAAATTGCTAATGAGTAGTCAAATACAGAAATCATTCCTCAAATCTAGCCCTATCTCCAGTTTGCAGTTAATTGCATTGCAACTAGTGTATTTATATTAAAAATTTGCAGGATCTTGCTACTCAAACATTTTCAAAGCAGCAGCAGCAGCAACTTCTCTGTTAAAGCCCATACTAAGCATTTAAATTTTCCTTGGTTACAAAAACGTAACATTATTAACAGAATTTGAGAATTTGATGCACTGCGAAGATATATTTGTTTTTAAAAAACAAATTAGAATTAGAATTTTCTTTGATCTGATTTAAATTATCAGTGCAACTTCATAAATTACTCTGAAGAGCCTACTAGTCTCCCAAAATGTTGTGTTTCTGAAATAAATTTATATTTTAGATACAAAGTTGGATACAGGCTTCTTTAGCCAAAATTAGCAATAATATTCTGTATAATCACCAATTATATTTGCTTCTATTGTACAGGAAGCATTTTCATGAAAGAGGCTTCTGTTAACAATTTTTTGCTTTTTTAACATTGTCAATATTTTGCTCAAAAAATTGCTCGTGGATTTATGTGTGGAGTTTAGACATACCGTAACAATGAGTATGAGATCCTGCTAATGAGGCCCCCTGAACAACATGCATGGTTAGATGTAGATGAAGATGGCATAAGTAATTTCACATACCACTTCTAAACTACTGAAAGTTTGTTGGCTCTGACTGGAGTGAGAGGAGACTTGAAATGTAATATTTTGGCGAGCCAAATAGCTGCTAATAAAACCAGAAACTTGGAAGAGAGATACAGGGTCTTCTATATCTTTTTAAAATAAAGGACCAGATTGTTCAAGAAAGTCACATTTGTCAAACCTCGTTTAAGCCATGTGGACCTATCTGTATGAGACCAATGAGATGAATATTTAAGTCAGTGTATCATTTGAAAGTATGAATTCTTATGGTGCACGTAAAACTGCTCACATTGCTAGGAGCGAGTATTCATCACAGCTGGTCTTGCTTCCTGGAGTACAGAGCTATTGCAGTTTAGGAACAGTAACTGCTTGTCAAAAGTGAATTCTGCTACAGTTAAATACAGCTATGTGAGTGTATATATTTCATTTGAAGGAAATTCATGCATGCCCAGTTTGGTTTTTTTTTTTCCTTAATTTTGTATTACTAAAGTTATCTTTTTCCACTAAATTTCAAGAAAGTTATTATTCCATAAAATTAGACTCAAAATTATGGTATTCTAGTTATGAAAGTACAGAAATATTCTCTAGACATTTGATTTTCTTTGTGGTGATTGGGGAACAGAATGCATCACAAAGCCTTGGAGAAACATTTTTTGTTGGCTACTTTTGCCTTTTTTTATTGGACTTATGAAATCTACTAAAAGCTGTAAGTTTTACTCAAAACTGATCCCACACAAATGTTCTGCATGGATGGCCACAGTATGAGACATGTCATGTTCATGCACGTCTAACTGTTCTTTTCCTGTAAAATGTTGTGCATTTTGTCCATACTGCCTCCCTTGATCCAGAAGTGCCCTGTTCCACCATTTCACTGGTGACAAAGTGACATTACGTGTGTGTTTCAGATGCTGGTGGGCACAGTGTGCCTCTTCGTCCTTGGTGTCTCGCAAACGGTACTGCTTTTGCGCTTCTATAATTTACCCCTGTTCTTCTTTTTAGCACCTTGTTCCACAGGCTCGGCCAGATGGGAGATGTTTGGCAGCTGGAGGACCCAGATGCCAAATTCTGGAATACAGCTTTCCTGTATTGGCATGTGGGTTCATGGCTGGCTTCTTGGCTTGCACCTCTGCTAGCTTCTTGGCTAGCTGTCTAGCTGGCAGCTGTAGCACTGCCTCTGGGGCTACGTTAGGGTCAAGCTACTATTGAGTTGGATGACTTTCCTGATCTGAATTACCCTGACGGACACCATTTTCACCTTAATTTGCTTTGACTCTCCAGTATTCAAAGATGAGCGTTTGCGCTACTCTGTTTTATTCCTGCCATTTGTAAGACAAACTCGAAGGAGTAGTTCTCATTTGTCTCCAGTTCAAAAAGAAAACAAGCATTTCAGAGTACACCATTTCACTTGTTAGGATTCCCATTCAGTCAGTAGGAATGTAAGGCCCAAGTCTGTACTTGCAAGTCATCTCTGTGACCACATTGTAACTACAGAGCACGGGCTTTAAAAAAAAAAAAATTTCTTATGTCTAAACTTTGATTGCTTTCAACCATGAGTGAATCTAGCCTCTGTCAAACAGAAAAAAATGCACATTTGGAGAGACAATCTGGATCATTTGTAAAGAAAAAGGATAAAGAATAATGATGATGATAATAAATAGGATGTTACTGGTAATAATGGAAAGCACTGCCAGAAGAAAATGCTGGATCTTCCCTTTGCCTGATTTGGAATGTCCTCATTACATACTTTAGTTTTACCTCAGTTTTTTTGTTTGTTTGTCTTTCATATATGAGGTAATGAAAAATTAATGCATCTTAGGATAGCCGAAGCATTTGAAGTAATTCCCTAATCTACGCCTTTTCCCCCACGCAGCTCAGTGCATAAACATTACTTTCAGTGGGAAAAACTGCAAAATCAGGAGGTCACTGAGATTCCAGATATTTACAGTAAGGTACAGATTAGTCATACCTGCTGTGAACTTTTCATTCCCTCGCTCAGCTGTAGTGAGAGTATGTTGGAGACAGTGGTATCTCTATCGCACACTCACAAAACTTTCTTAAACATTTGAGCAAATAGCACTTGTGCCTGACTTGAACACAAACTTCTACCTGTATGTTAAGGTTAAGCTTTGTAGGATGATCTGACCTCTGCGGAAAACCACCTGAATTCCCCATTATAATCACTGGAGAGAGTTGGATGTCTTGGGAGCAAGCAAAAAGGAGACCCTACCCATCTAGTTTACATGATACTCTTCTTTGCTGACTGCCTAGGTAACATAAGTGCTTCCATTGGAATACAGCGCGGTTACATTAGATAAGTTGTTATGGACTAGGTAGGGAACCAGTAGGAACTACCAGAAACTACCATCTATTTCACTCAGGGGTAGTCTGCATTAGCCCTTTCTGGATGATAACGGAGGAGGGATGATTCTTTTGAAAAACAAGCTGGGAGCAGCAACAGCAATATTCCCATCTTTTGCAGGAGAGCTTCGTTAACTGGCTTGTCAACGAAGTAGGTGACCTGAGTTTTAGGTTCTCAGCACAAGCATCGCAGAGGTGTTTTAGTCGTTAGGATCCGTGGCATGGGCCTAATCATGTGAGCATGACACTTGGGGAGCAGTAGAGTCTCTCGTCTTCCTTCCTTCTGAATATGGGCCATTGTATAGACAGGAGCACAGAAGTTATGGGATGGGAAGGAGAGTGGGTAAGAAAAGCCTGAATCCTACCTGAGCGTGGACAGGACTCACTGTAGGCACCATTCCCTGGAGCAACATTAGGCCAGAAGCAGCCATGGATACTGAAATAGAGCTTTCACCGCTCCCCTCTCGGAGCTGAGTGTCCAGATTTCTAGTATGGAGCCAGAATTTCCCTTTTCTGTCCAACCTTTTAGCCTCATGGTTCTTGAATTCCTGGTTGCAGGGTAGTCTTGCTTCCATGGACACTGATACTGAGGACCCCAAGTCCTTATAGCCGGGTTTATTCCTGGGGTGATGGAGGTGCTGTATCAACTTTCTGTCTGAGAAGGACCTACAACCAAAGTCTCTCCTTCCCTGGGTGAATTACCTGACTGCAAGGGTACAGTACAACACCTTGCCAGTGCCACAGCCATCAAAACTCTGCCTGCCTTTTGGGGCTTCTTCACAAGATGTAGGCAAAGTTCAGGATGTTGCCCTGCCTGTAGGTGGAAGATGGGCATCTGCCAGAATGAGCATGTGTGAACATGTGCCTTGTGGTTGATACCTGAAGAAGCTACAACTTAACAGTGAAGGACCTCATGAGTTTAGAGACATGCTGGGTAGGTCTGTTCCTGGGACAGTGAGTGGGAATGCGGTCATGGACCTAGGAAGGCTTTTCAGTGCCTGCCTCCCAAATCAGGGTTTCAGCATGCTGATTTCCATACTTCTCCATGTAGTTCATTTTCCAAACTACATTTTCTCCTTTCAAATGAGCAAGCTTTCAGTTCTTTTTAATGTAGTAAAATTAAAGATGTTATTCTATTATCCAGAGTATTCCTTTTCCCTGTTTAGCTGTTTCTGCCCTTTTGCCTATCAAAGGATGGGTCTGGCTGTCCTTAATTTTTACATCTCAGCCACAATCTCTGCCCCCATTAAAGAGATTCCTGTCACTTTCTGTATGCCAGTGGCTTTGAAAATAATATATAAGGTAGAGCAATTTATTTTCTTTTTTTTTTTTTTAAAGTAACACTGATTGTCCCTTATGCATTCTTTTCAAGCAGAGAAACAATGTGTGCTGTTTTAAAACAAAAATAAACAACGGCAAAGACGTTTTCCCCTTCCCTTGCACCTCCAGAACATTCTGTAACCCAGTTACTGTAGTTGTTTTTAAACTTTTTTAAACATGCATGCTGTCAAGAGGTTGCGGTAAAAGAAGTATTTCTCATAAGGCCAAAATGACCGCAAGGAATGAAAAAAAATGACAGAGCAAGCAGAAAATCCCATGTTTTGTTTATCAGCATCTTTTTTTTTTTGCCTAATGGCAGATACTTGGAGAGAGAATCTGTTTACTTCGATGGAAGATTAGCTTAGAGTTTGGTGATTCACAAGGCAAAAAGAAGACATAGTTTCCAACTTTCAAGCTATTCAGTGTGTGTGATGAGCTGAAGTCATTTGTGAATTTGTGTGCTGCATTTTGACGTGATTAAATGTTTTAAGTCTATTGATTTCATGCTGGGGATTAATGATGCTGAATGAAAGAGCATCAAAGAATAAGACATGTTTACATGGCCGATTAAAATACCTTAAAAAAGAGCCAGAGTACCTATTATTGGCTAGGAATGAGATAAGAGCAGCATAGGACCAGTCATGCATTCTACATCGAAAGGAAAATGAATTAACTTCTTTAGGCATAGAAAGAAGAAAAGTGAAGATTTGATAAGGATTGACTATACCTTTCTGAATGTTTAACACTTGTGTTTGACTTGTTATTTTGGAAGAGGGGATTAAAGTTGTTTCATTATCAGTTACCGTGGATCTGTTTTACTGAAACAATCAAACCATGATGCTTAGCTGCTTGGGATTAATGAGATGATCTTTTAACTGGAGAACTTGCTGGTAACAGCATGTTGATAAAGGACAAGACCCAAAGATACCCAGTGCAACTGTGGACATGAGATACAGTAAAGATGGTGTTTTCTGCTTTGAATTTGCATAATACTTTCAGATCTGTTTGCCTTAGCATAGTAACTCAAAAACACATCGTTATCTTAAAATGTTCATAGTGCTAATTGGTTTGTATCTGCTCTCTGCAAATGTTCCTAGAGGCTGGCTAGATTCATGGGTCATATCTGGATTTGCAGTTAGGTGTCACATTCTGTTTGCCAAGGTAATAGTAGATGAAGATGGACAAGACCTATTTGCTCGTTAAATCCATCCTGTTGAAAGCATGATATAGGCTCTTCCAGTAGTATTAAACTGTTGGTACCCTTGATGTTAGCCAGAATGCCAGAGAGGGAATTTATTTGTGCTGTATCTGTGGAGAAGGATACCTTAATCATCAAGTTAACTTGTGAAATACTTGATGCATGTGAAATACTGCTACTGAGCTAGGGAGACATTTAAACGTGCAGTCTAATACAGCTGAATAAATACCTGACAAGACCAGCTCGTGCACACGTTCTTTTTTTCTCTGCTGATGCTCTGATCTGGATTAGCATACGTGAGATGAATTCAGCAGTCTGATACACGCTACAATTCATTTGTCTCAGAAGGGATTGAATGATTATCCTGGGTTTGGGGTAGCAGAGAGGGGGTTTGACAACGTGAGATTATTTTTTTTTCCCCCGCTTCCACTGCTTAATACAAGACCTGAAGCCCTTGGTTACAAAACAAAGTGTCTGAGCAGTAACCGAGCTTGTGCAAACCCAAGAGAAGAGTAATGACTGTTCCTCGCAAGCTTCCTGCCTCGGTGCAGGTGCAGGAATCAGGAGGGCCTGAATAATTCATAAGGTGCAAATTAGCCTCAGCTTGTTCCCACTGCTCGAATTTTGCTTCTGCTTACCTACCTAGTTGCTAGAAAGAACAGAAATAAAGGAAGCTTGGGAAACTGGGGAGGGCAAGGCAAAAAGTGTTTAAAGGTCATAGTCACAGAGGCTGCTGAATGCTGGGTGTGTTTGAAGGCTTGGTGCTTACTGAGGAATTGGCCTGTGCATTGATTATTCATGAAGTGTTTTCTCAGGAAGAAGTAAGCTCTGGGGACCCATTCCATTGCTCTCAGAGAGGGGAAAAACGTCCTTTTAAGAATTAGGTTTTTCCCGCTTTTATTGTTACTGTTTCTAAAAAAATATTGGATTAAAAAAACCCTCTTAAAAGCTCATTTAAAGCCTATTAAGCTATTTGAGAGTATGCATTTATTGTGTCACTAAACTCAAGAGTCCAGAGACATTTCACAAGAAATTTTGGATGTTAGGATGCTTACTGCTTTGGGTTCCAAGAGCTTGTATGAAACTAGTTATATCTGGAAATGCAATGTGTAATTATCTTGTATTTTTATCATTTAAAAGGCAGCATTCCTCTCATTTAAATACTGTTAGTGATGGTTATCTTTTCTATTGGGTCACTCACCTGCTTTTTTGCCCAG